TGTCCGTCTGTCTGCCGTCCCGGATTTTTATATTTTGCAATTTGTCAACATTAATTTCTTAAATTTTTAATTTTTAATGTTTCAGTTTCTCGAATCCTTAATTTTTCGATTCTTCAAATTTTCGATTTACAATTTTTCAATTTGTCATTTTTTTTGATTTTTCAATTGTAGGATATGCAACTCTTTAGTTTGTGATTTTTAAATTTTTCAATTTTTCGTTTTGGTTTTTTATTTTCTTTATTTTGTCAATTTTTCGCATTTCTAATTTTCCTATTTTATAATTATTCTTTTTTCTTTGTGTAAAATTTTTTTCAATTTTTGGGTTTTCAATTTTTTTGTTCAACTTTTAGATTTTTTAATTTTTTGTTTCTTCAACTTTTGAATTGGACTTTTTTTTTCTACTTTTCATTTTAAATATGTAATAAAAATTATAATTTAAAAATTTTTCACTGTTTCAAATTTACGAATTTAGAATTTTTCCATTTTTCATTTACTGATTTTTCAGCTTTGATATTGAATTTTCGAATTTCTTAATATTTGATTTTTCTGTTTTTTGTTCTTTTAGTATTTACAATTTTCTGAGTTTACAATTTTAACGATTCTATAATTTTTCGATTCTACAAATTTTGGAATTTCTATATTTTTTGATTCAATCCGTTTTTTTTTATTTTTAAGCTTCTCGATTTTTATTTTTTCAGTGTTTCAATTTTTCGTTTCTTTAGTTTTTCGATTCGCAATTTTTCAATTTTACGATTTCTCGTTTTTTCAGCTTTTCCACATTTCAATTTTCCCAATTTTTAAATTTTTCGACTTTTAAGTAATTTTTGGATTTTTCAAGTTTTCGAACCAAAAAAATAAAATTTAAAAATTCTAAAATTGAAAAATCAAAAATGAAATTTCACAAAAAATGGAATGAAAACTTTGAAAAATCTAAAAATTGGAAATCAAAAGCTTGAAAAATGGAGGAAACGAAGAACTGAAAAATCGAAATACTTACTAAAATTGAAAAATTTCAAAATCAAAAAAATTGCAAAAATTACGATACAATGTACGTACAATATGTAACTCTCGAGTTTGTCATTTTTAAATTTTTTCAGTTTTCCGATTTTCCACCTTGTCAACTTTTCGATTTGCACTTTTTCGTTTCGGTTTTTTATGTTCTTTATTTTATCAAATTTTCAGATTTTCAATGTTCTGATTTTATAATTTTTCGTTTTTCAATGTGAAATCTTTTCAAGTTTTTCTGTTTTTTAACTTTTAGCTTTTTAATTTTTTGTTTCTTCAACTTTTGAATTGTATTTTTTCTGGTTTTCATTTTAAATATTCCTATGTAACTTAAAAATTTTTCACTGTTTCAAATTTACGAATTTACAATTTTTCCATTTTTCAATAACTAAGTTTTCAATTTTGATTTTTAATTTTTGAATTCTTAAATTTTTTAATATGTAATTTTTCAGTTTTTCGTTCTTTCAGTATGACAATTTTTTTATTTTACAATTTTAACTATTTTATAATTTTTCCATTTTGTAAATTTTGGGTTTTCCAATTTTTCTACTCAATTCGTTTTTTCTTGATTCAAAAACTTTTCGATTGATTTTTTTTTTATTTTTATGCTTCTGGATTTTTAGTTTTTCAATATATCAATTTTTCGTTTCTTTAGATCTTTGATTTGCAATTTTTCGATTTTCCACTTTTTCGATTTTACAGTTTCTCGTATTTTTTTAATTTTTTGATTTTTCAACTTTTCGAACCAAATGCAGAAAAACTGCAAAATTCTAAAATTGAAAAATCAAAAATAAAATTACGAAAAAATGTAGAATGAAACTGAAAAATCTAAAAATTGGAAACCTTGAACTTGAAAAATGGAAGAAACAAAAATAGAAAAACCGAAAGACTTAAAATTGAAAAATTTCAATTAAAAAAAAATGCAAAATCGAAAATACGAAATATTGTAGAATCGAGAAAGAAAGAAACCGAAAAATCGGATAATTGAGAAATCCAAAAATTGCGAAATTCAAAAATTTAAAAATTGGAAAATCAAGCAACTGAAAAATCAAAGACTGAAAATTTGAAAAAATGAATAAGCGAAAAATTACAGAATCGGAAGTAACATTGAATAAAATCGAGGAAATGAAAACTGAAAAATTGGAAACATGAAAAATAAACGTCAAAAACTTGAAAAACTGAGGAAACCAAATAATTGAAACAATAAAGAAAACGATAAAACGAAAAATTGTGATATCCAAAAATGGGTCGAAGGTAATAAATATGTTTATTCTATTTTAGAACCATAATCTTATTTATAAGCACCCAAATGCGGGCTTAAATTGGCCTTTTTAGCACAAATCTGTCAAAAATTGCTAAGCAACAATTGATTGTTCATTTACCCTAATCAATTAATTATTCAAACACGCTTCGATATTCAACGTTTTTCTTAAGTTGGAAACACAATATTTTATCAAATCATTACCTGACCGACTTCAAATTCTTCTAAACTTTCGTTTGAATAAACGTTTTCCGCTTCTTTAATTTACATTTTGAAAAACGAATTATCAAATAATCAACGTGGTATCCATAACAACATCAAAATAATAGCCAGCTATGTATTAAAATTCGCATCGGCACAATTCACACAGTCTTGCCGAAAATACTCAATATTTCGTTAAAAATAGTTTATAAACTAAAATAGAATAAAACGTTGTATGTACCACGTGCATAATTGTCGATTGTGGCACTCAGGAAATTAAAAGCCCTCCTTCGTCGGGCTTTAAACATTCCCTCGTGCCACAATCTCCCTGATTATGCCCTTAATACATAAATAACTAAAATATCCAGATTTTTCGAAAAATTATAAGACTTGATTTTGTTTTTTTTTTATGATAATCCTTATAAATTAAAATAAAGATATGTATGTAATATTAAAGTAAATGCATGCCGCGCGTTTGTTTACAGTGAGTTTTTCCATTACAAAATTTTGTATTGACATCCTTAACATTTTTGCAAGTGCACATATATATGTTTGGATAGACGTAATGTATTCCCAAATTTTTGTGAAAATAGAGTGAATCGTTCTTTGTTTTAACCAATACAATCATTTGCCTCAGTTGTTAATTTTTGAGTCACTCTGTATAAATAATGCTAATATCTAGGAGTGCATATAAAATATTTTGCATATTTCAGGCAAAATTTTGAGATGACGTCATCAATTTATTGGAGCGGAATACGAATAAATTTTGATTAACGATTTACCACGCTCACGATAACCTTAAATGACGTTTTCAAAGCAATCGATTTTGCAGCTTCAAAGTTATGTTGCAAAATATTTTTATACTATTTTGATTTTTTTTTCACAAATCTCGATGTTTGGATGTTGGTTAGAGTCTTACTATCTACACGATATTTTTAATACACACACAAGATTTGTTGGCGGAAATGAAAACACCACGGAATCGGTTACTAACGTATATTACATTATGGCACATTACAAGAGAATATTCGACGAGCGTAACATAGTCGCGCTGGTAGCCACGCGGACGGTCGTACCAGAAGTGTCTAAAAATATGGCGTCTTCAAGTGGCGCTGTGTCGCTCTGCGCAATATATCCGTCTCGTGAAGGCGACTACACGAGCGAGCCTCGCACGGCCGACACTAGGTGTCGCTCCAACACTTCCCCTCGAGGTGACGGTCGTGTAAAAATGTCCACTAATCAACAACGTCAAGTCCGCACGACTTCGCGCACCTCACATGCTTCGGCTTTGACAGTCCTTTAGTTAAGAAGTCCGCAACTTGATCGTCTGTGGGCACATAACTAACCCTGACTTGTCCGTTCTTGAGAACATCGCGCACGAAATGATGGCGGATGTCTATGTGTTTGCTTCTCCCGTGGAAGGTGGGATTTTCAGCAAGCTGCAGGCAACTTCGGTTGTCGCAATGAATGACCAAGTTAGCTAGGTCGTCAAACCCCAGCTCCCGGAGAAATCTCTGCAAGTACAGACCCTCCTTGACGCACTCCGACAGGGCCATGTACTCCGCCTCCGTTGTGGATAATGCAACCGTCCGTTGCTTCTTCGCTTCCCACGACAAAGGCCCACCGTTCAAAAGGAATACATAACCGGTGTACGATCTCCGGTCCTCAGTGCTCGCTCCCCAGTCGGCGTCGGCGAATGCCCTGATTGGCCCATCGTCCGCTCCGAATGCGAGCCCCACGTTCATCGTCTCCTTCAAGTATCGCAGAACTCTTTTGGCTGCCCTCCAGTGCTCTGGGCCATAGCAGTTGTTAAACTGCCCCAGACGACTCACAGCGAAGGCGATGTCGGGCCTCGTAGTCGATGATAAATAAGTAAATGAGCGCCCCCACGAGCTCGCGGTACGGGAGCGCGAGATCCTCTTGACTCTGGTCGATGTTTTTCTCTAGCTTCGTCCCTAGATCGATCGGCGTTGCGACCGGCTTGCAATCAGACATGCCGAATCGCGAAAGTACGTCCTTTATGTACCCTCGCTGATGCATCGTTACCCGGCCGTCCTCTCTCTGAAACTCCACGCCCAAACAGTGCTTTACATCTCCCAGGGCCTTAATTTCGAATCGTTGGGCCAACTCTCTTCCTATTTCGGCGATCTTCTTTCGGTTGCGGGACGCGATCAATATGTCGTCCACATAGATCGCGATTAACACCACGTCCCGCCCTGATTTTAGGCGAAACAAACACGGGTCTGAGGCCGTCGGGATTGCGCCGAGCTCTTTCAGAGTCGAGTCCAACTTTGTGTACCAGTTCCTACCGGCCTGTCGTAGGCCGTAGAGCGATTTCTTGAGCAAACAAACTCTATCGCCTTTGCGCAACTCCTTGAGCAGACTGGTGGCCTTCGCTACAGTCGAGCTGTCGGTCTCGTTGTCGATGATGCTGCCAAGGGCCCTCTGAAGCTCCTTCGGCGGTTCCATGAATACTTCCTCGTTCAGCTCGCCGTTCAGATACGCAGTTTCGACATCAAACTGCTTAATTGCCATGTCGTGGTGGGCGGCAAGGGAAGCCATCAGCCTAATGGAGCTGAAACGAGCAACAGGAGCAAATGTCTCGGTAAAGTGTATACCTGGTTGTTGGCTGAAGCCCTGGGCGACTAATCTAGCCTTCCTTCTCTCAAAGGTTCCGTCCGATTTGTACTTGTTTCTGAGGACGATGCGACTCCCCACCACCTTGTCTCGCTGTGGACGCTCCACCAAAGCGAAAGTGTCGTTCTTGATGATGGACGTTAGCTCAGCCACTATGGCCCGTCGCCATTCGTCTGCATCGGGACCGCTCAGCGCCTTTTTCATTGCAACCTCGGATACGAAGCTTTGTTCGATGGCATCGACGATGTTGGCACCGGGATTCGGCACCGTCCGAAATTGCTTCCTGGGTCGGCCACGTCAACCTGTTCTTACAATTCTCGGGCGACCTGGAGCCCTCGCACGATCCGCATTGTTGTCATCGTCGATGATGTCGCGCTCGTCATCTTCTTCAGCAGTCGTCACGTCCCGCTCCGACCTATCGTTCGATTCACCGTCGGCGTAGACGCCGTCTGGGACGTCGGCGGGGCGATGGACCTCGACCTCGACCTCGATGACGTTCCGCGGGTCGTTGACCGTCGCCGGCGGCGCTCCACCAGCTGGAGGAGGGTGCACGATCTCGACCGAACGCCGAACCTCCGGCGAAGTCTCTCTGCTCTGTTGGGTCTGAGCAGGATTGTCGACGTGACGCCGTTCCTTGTCGTCCTCTACGAACACGACGTCGCGGCTTATCAGTACGGTCCTTTTTACTGGTGACCAGATTCGGTATGCCTTGGATTCGTCGGCATAACCCAAGAAAACGCCTTCTTCTCCTCGCGGGTCGAACTTCCCTTTCCCCGGTCGCCTGTCTAGGTAGTATACCCTGCTGCCGAAAGCTCTGAAATTGGAGATGTCGGGTTTCTTACCGGTCCATGCCTCGTACGGGGTTCCACCACCCAGGCATCTGGTGGGCAGGCGATTTCGCAGGTAATTGGCAGTGTTAACCGCCTCCGCCCAGAACGAGTCCGGTAACCCGGCGTCAATGAAGAGACACCTGGCCGTGTCTAGGAGCGTGCGGTTCTTCCGTTCTGCGGTGCCGTTTTGCTCCGGATTGTACGGCGCCGTCAGCCTCCTCGTAATTCCTCGCGGCTTGAGGTACCGGTCGAAGTCGCGGCTTGTGTACTCGCCGCCGTTGTCCGACTGTAAGCACTTGACGGTTTTCCCCGTCTGGTTCTCGACGAGAGCCAAGTACTCCGTCGTGGCCTGGAACACCTCGTCTTTCGATTTCAGGAATCGAGTCTCGCACCATCTGGACTTGTCGTCGATGAACTCTACGAAGTACTTCGCGCCTCCGAGAGATGGCGTCCTCATCGGCCCGCAGACGTCGGTGTGCACCAGGTCCAGTAGCTGCTCTGTGCGCCGGTTAGAGCACTTTGGGAAGGGGGACCTGGACAACTTCCCCTGGATGCAGATGTCGCACTTAACCGCCTCCGCACAATCCTTCAGCTGGACGCCGCTCACTCGATTATTTCGTATGGCCTCGACGAGGTCCCTCGCGTTCGCGTGTCCCGATCGCTTGTGCAACAGTCCGAGCGGAATTTTGTCCTCACCACAAGCCGAGCGCGCATCATGCTTGTGTCCGCTCACGTAGTATAGGTCTCCTATTCGTTCCGCACACAACAGCACGTTGCCGTCTGGATCCACTACCACCGCTTCGTCGCGCCGAAAATTAACCTCGAGTCCGCGGTCCGTGATTTTGCTCACGGACATTAGATTGGTCCTCAGATCGGGCACATGCAGAGTCTCACTCAACGAAACGTTTGCTGTTTCGCCTAACACGCGAGCCGCGAACTGCACCGTACCAACACCCAATGTCGCGGTAGACGATTCGTTCGCGAGGTTCAAAATACCTGTTTTCGATCTATCGATCTTCGTGAATTGGCCCCCATCATTGCACAAATGCGCTGAGGCTCCACTGTCCAGGCACCAGTCCGAGCTTGAGTTGGCGGTTTCTTCGCGCTCACTCATTCGCAAACATACGTTCCTTGCGTGTTTCGCGCTCCTTTCCTTGCTCCGGCACTCTGATGCCTTGTGCCCTAGTCGCCCGCATTTGAAGCAGCGAAGTTTGGAGCCCCCGTTGTTCCGTCTTCGGTTGGGACTTCCGCCAGCTTCCGCTCTCTCCTTGTTTTCCCGCCAGCCGCCATTTTTGTGATCCCGCCAACCGCCATTTTTGTTGGCGACCATGGCGCCGGACGTGCCGCTTCCGCCGCGTGCGCAGTTCTTGCGCGCGTCGCTCTCTTCCACGACCTTAATGCGCAGCGCTTCCGGCGACTGTAGATCATCTCGCGATTCGATCGCACATCTAAAAACCTCGAAACTCGCGGGTAGGCTGTAAATTAGTAAGATGGCCAGGAGATCCGGATTGATGTCGACGTCCATGTCGTTCAGTTTATCCACGGAGTCGAAGAACTCGCGCAGATGCTCGCGCACGTCGCCCCCATCGTCCATTTTGCATAAGATCAAGCGTTTCAAGAGTGTCGCTTTTCTCGCAGGCCCCTTCGACTGGTAGATCTCCTCCAGGCGTAGCCACATGCTTCTGGACGTGTCGCAATTCTTTATTTGCTTCAGTTCTGTCGGACTGATCGAGAGCACAATATCCGACCTCGCCTTGCTGTCGTTCTTGACCCATTCAGCAATGGCCGCCGCGTTCGTCGCTGTTGCCTCAGGCTTGACGCAAGTACCGCTCACGTACTCCCACAGGTCGCCTTTGATCAGCACCGCCTGCATTTGTAATTTCCACGTATCGAAGTTGTCCTTCCGCAGCAACTCGATGCGCGACGAATTTCCGGCGTTCATCTTGACGGCGTACTTTAACACAACACGTGCACACACTTCAGTACCTTCGAATATACGCGATTCCGTTTATTCGCGCTCTGGGCCCATAACCTGTTGGCGGAAATGAAAACACCACGGAATCGGTTACTAACGTATATTACATTATGGCACATTACAAGAGAATATTCGACGAGCGTAACATAGTCGCGCTGGTAGCCACGCGGACGGTCGTACCAGAAGTGTCTAAAAATATGGCGTCTTCAAGTGGCGCTGTGTCGCTCTGCGCAATATAGCCGTCTCGTGAAGGCGACTACACGAGCGAGCCTCGCACGGCCGACACTAGGTGTCGCTCCAACAAGATTTGACAACAAGCCAGGAGTTTCGGAGATTATCTGTGTAATACAAATTCGGATAGACGACAGACAGATAGACAAAAACGGGAGATCTAAGTATTTTTAGTACTCAAGGGTCATGAAACGTCGAGAAAACTTAAAAGTAGACTGTTGTCCAATGAGGTCGATTATAGTACGTTCCTAGCTTGCGTTCAAGAAGTAAAAATAAAAAAAATATATACACTTTTATCCTATATTTTGTACTATGACAACACCACATTAGTTTGTTCAGAAAATTAGAAAAATCAATATATCAATTTAAATAAATTGTACTGTCTTTTCCACTAGTTTTAAAATCAGCTATTTTCATCGAACTGAATTAATATAACTACATCCATCTCGTCACATTTTATACGTTTTATTTCATTCTTCGCTAACAGTAAATGGATTTCCAATCAAATGCTTCTCTGCACTTGGCTACAACTTCAAATACGAATATTTTCGCTTTATTTACGCTTGTTTCAAGTACAATTGAAGTAAATTTACGAAGTCGAAGACAAATTCCTTCTCTTGCACAAATTATGCTAGACGAGGACATCAATAAAATACGTTTTTGTCAATTTCCGCCATATTTTAGAAATTGTTTCATGATTGACAAGTATATGAAATTTGATTATTCTCTATAAATATTAAAATATCAATTTTTTGTATAATACACGTCCAAAATCATTTCCCACTGAAATACAGACTGTCCTTTTTTTTATATCCTTATCAAGTGCAAAACTTTCGAAACCTAGCGCCAGCAGCAACGAACTATTCCAGACAAATCAGTTCCATTTACTTCCAAATAATTATCGCCACAACAAAGTTACCCCACACTATTACTCGATTAAAACTTCCCCACGCTTTCCACAAAAATAAACACTTAAGACCCTCCCATCCGCTCCACGCAACCCATAAAAAACTTCCATTTCCTAAGTATTAATAACAGGAGAAGAATATACATATAATTGCATTGCTCCCAACTTCCGCGGACATGTGCCGCAGGAAAACGGTATAAAGAGAAAATGTGAAAAAAATGTCTGTCCCATTTTCTGCGCGAAGGTAAGTAGACGATAAAATTTTCCGTCTTAGGTGTACTCTCCCATCCCTTAAATATTTCTTCAACTCATTTAAATTGCGAATGCGCTCGCTTATTTTTCTACTATGCAAGCCTCGATTGGGGAATAACTGAGATTAATTGGATGCTGCCGCCGTGGAATCCCAATAATTCGCGGAACGGATTTTATTTTCAGCGGTAAACTAAGAGGTGTGCTTTACAAGAAGTTACACTGTTGTTCATTAAAGGGAAAACTTTGACCTGTTGCAAATTACTTTGAAGGTTCATTGAGCAGTTGCTGCACAGAATGATGTTTATCCGATAGAATATCAATCAGGATGTTTCTTTTGGCGTAGTTCGTGTCCCCTCGGGCAAGATTTTGGATTTACAGTGACGATCTTAACACTTCAGAGTTAGACAAACGTGAAAACTTGAAGGATTTTCCTTAGTCTACCTTGTAACCAACGAGGAAAGTTTTAGTTTTACTGATGGGCCAATAAGAGGATTTTTGAACGGTGGGAGCACACTTACAGAACACACTTTAATTGTCTAAGTACTTTCCACGATACGACTTTCTCTTTATTTTCCTTTGTCAGTTTAACCGAGCGAAGTGAGAATAACAAAAGTTTGAGATGCGCTGATTTAACTTTCGGATATAATATGTGGGGATTCGTTGTGAGAATCTCGGTATCTTGTTATAATTTTGGGTGTGTTATTTTAGATGGTGAAAGCTTTGTGCCAACGGAGGCACCTTGCTCAAATAACCGAATCAGTTTTCAGGTGTATAAAGCTCGTTATAAATAAATATCGAGTTTTGAATGTAAAATCTCGAGAGCGTGCGTAGAAACTCCATTAACGTGATCGTCACGAAAGATGAAGTAGATGCAGGGGGAGAGGAATTTTCAAAGAAAACGGTTGCGTTTTTGGTTGGTGCGTAAGCAATTAGGAGGAAATTGCTGATACACGTGCAGACGCAAAAAAAGTGTAAGAATTCTGTTTTATTTTCAAATTAATACCCTGAAGTGGAATAATTTGAATTAATTGGTTTTTTCAAAAGTCATAAAAGATTTAACTGGCGACGGAAAATTTCACTTTTTTGTCTAGACATAAAAACGTGTTAATGAATTAAACTTTCACGGAATTTTATTTACTTTTTCACTAAGCTGCTATGACTTATTAAAGCGCTGGTCAGATCAGAATTATTAAGCTACTATAAATTATTGATAAGTTCTCAATTCGTCGTTTTTTGTTTTATTGACAAGTGTTCTCCGATCATGCCAATCGATATTTGGTTTAGCGTTATGTACACTTCTATAAGTTCATGGTCAACCAATGACTATTTTTACACTTTTGTTAAAGAGAAATTTAGAATTTAAAGGGTCGCCTCACTTCAGGCATTGTTGTTTTCAGAAATAGAATGCTAATCTCGGGACAACTACAGGTTGTTTATTTTAACATCAGAAATGGGATAATGACACTATACACACATTTTGTTTCGAAGATACAGTCCTAAATTTTGTTTAACTGTCATCTTTTAACATTTGTATAAAAAATATTGTTTATTCCACGGTCTAAAGTTAGTAGGTCATTTGTTTTTTACTTGTTCTGTATTATTTCCAAACATTTTTTCGATATTAAGTATTCGTATATGTATAAATACGTAATACCCGTACAAAATA